GGATTTTCTCCTAGAAAGGCAAGATGCCATCTCCAGGGAGATGTGGTTAAACAGACTTCTTAACAGAAGTGTTGCAATTTATTATGCCAAGCTTTTCAGTTTTCTGAAGCAGAGACAACTCCTTCGACTAGATGGAGTTTGCACTACTCTCCTACTTAATTTGCCATCTCACTTAATGACAATTTTCATTCTCATATATGTATTCCTATCAGTCCTTCATTTGCACCCACGTTCTTCACAGCCATCCTTACTGAGAGTGAGGTATCTTGATTGCATAAAAGCTGCATTTCTTTCTTCTCCATCTTCCTTTTCCATGGCTGATTTTCCATCTATGTGTATTTTATCCAAAAGTAAAGATCGACATGACTTCTGACAAAGTTCACTTTACTTATATGATCTCTGACACCAGAGATACGCTGTTCTTGGCTAATGATTTGTCACTTACTCCCAACAGCCTTTTTGGCCATTATTTATCAGCAAGTGCAGTGTTCCTTTTCTGTGGTTTGCAGTGTAAGTTCCAGAGATTTTGGAAGTTTTTTTTAGACAGTTTGCTGTCTTTAAAGAACAGCAAATGTTTTCCTCATTTAAGTGCATGGACTTTTTCAGTTCAGTTAACACATACACACATACTGAATTTACACACTGAATTTACACACATACTGAATACTTGCCTTTTTGAAATTAAAAGCTTTGAAGATGCAATTTTATCTGTTCTTCTTTTAATTTGAATGGAAGCAACTTGCAATAATCAATGCAGGATTCATTTCAAGGACAAGCACACTTGTTCACTGAAATCCAAACTATAATTTCATTGCACATAATATCCTGTTGGATTCATGATTAACTGATAAAGCTGGCATTTGTTACATACAGGATTAAGTGGATTCTACATATTCTTGCAAGTATTTTGCTGTCCAGTCCAAATACAGAAAGTTAAATTTTCTATAATAACAATACTCTCTTGGTGTTTATTTTCCTAGTAATATCACAAGGTCTCCATCAGTACTCAATTCTGTTTCTGTGTTTTACTGAACATAACACTTTACAGCCTTTCTGCCTCTCCTTCACAAATAACACTGAACTGGTCCATTTAATTTTATTGCACATTTTTGCAAATCAACATGTACAGCAGCCCTAAACTGAGAAGAAGATACTTTTATAAACACGTTCTTAAAGAAAAGTTGAGTGCGATTTGGTCTGTAATTCATCATTAGCTGTAATTTTGGTCTGTAATTAATCATTAGCTGTGCATTAGCTGTAGTCTTTTTTTGGGGGAAAATATTGTATGTTCTATCCAATTTTTTGCTTTGGAAATAAAATAATTCCTGAATACATGCTTTGTGCTGCCATATTGACAAAGATAAATGCTAAAATTCATTGAGATGAAAAGCAGATAGATGAGGTGGAATACACACTGTATAGCTGCTTCCTTTGCTGAGGCATGGGACAACATGTCTCAGGAAGAAATAGTTTTATTTTGCTAAACTCACTGACAATATGGACATTTTTCAACTGATTACTCAGCAGATAAATACCAGCGTGCAGATCCAGGAGAGTCTTTATTTGAGATACAGTAACAATAATATATATTCTTTTCATTTTGCAGTAGAAATGCATAATCATAACTGGTTGTATACCCAGAGTCATACCAGGAATTCACAGTTCAGTTACGAATTTACACCCAACTGAAAGATGGCCACAGCTGGTGGGAAACTTGTTTCAGTTAATAAAGAAGCTTTAAAACTGTGGGAATCATCTTTTAATTTTATAGTAATTGCTCTTGTGAGGTGTAGGAAGCTGGGAGGGTTTCGGTGTGTGTCATAACCTAATAGGTAGTAATTCATTTCAGTCATTTGCCTGCCTTGCTGAAATGAATATATACAGTATATACAATATATACTACATTAAAGTAGTCAAGGATTTAGTGCGCAACAGTGATTATGGTAATTTTTACTTTTTTTTTTTTTTTTTATTTCATGGGATCAGAGTCCGCATAACATATTCTTAGTTTGTCACCAAGGTAATCGCTACTAAGATACACTATTCATAAAAGGGAGAAAAGCAATGGAACAAAACTAAATGCACTTTATTCTTTGAGAGGAAAAAGTGTGAAGCATATTTGCACTGAGGTTGATGCTTTTGTGTAGTAATAGTTTGAAGACAGAATGGAATCAGAGCAAATTCATGATGGAATAATATGAATTTCAGACTGTATTTTCCTTTGTGCCAACATACAAAGCATGGGCTTGCTGTTGGAACCAAAATTACTATGTCAGTAAACTTCTAAACTGCCTTTCAAAAGCAGTAAACATACAAATAAAACAAAGTGCACTCAGTATCCAATTTTGTGGGCAATTAACATACAAGTTCAATTTGTGTGCTTAGAAAGTATAAATTAATCAGAAAATTTCAGAATGAGGTAATAGTTCAGCTAACTGTTTCATGTGCTTCTTGCAAGAAACCAAAATTCATATCCAAGATAGTGGTGTTCAAGATCAGACATGAACATATGAATTTTGGGAAGATGTAAGAGAATGTCTGTGTCCAGGCAAGAAACAAACACCTTTTTCGTACCTGCAACAGAACAAGTGATACTGTTCTCATGTCTCGTTTTTGAGGATCTGTTTGATTGGATACACAGAAATCAGGATGAGAAATTAAACTGAACTCCAACAGCTAAAAAGGCAATTGCAAGAGTGTCTGTCCACCCTTCTATTACAAGCACATGTATCAAAGAAAAGAGTAGCAAGGTTTTCTAGTAACGTTTCTAGATGTTACTTTCAATCATCACTCAGCAATAAAAATAAAACAAGAAATAAATTTTTTATGTAAGTCAATTTATTGGTTCTCTGAAGACAGAAAAGCTGTTATTTCAAGTGCAGGCAACTAATCTTGTTTTATTGCCCCAATAACAAGAGACTAAAACATCACAGTCAGTGGCTTTTAGGTAGAATGACTCAAACTCTTGTCTCAGTTATTTGTGTTGAAATTTTCTGAACACCAAGATCAACTGCATATGGATATGAGAAGAAATTTTACATGTAAGACATAGTACAGTAGAAAAAAATGTTGCTTATGAGCTTTCTTTAGAAGCATTTTTATGTGTTGAGAAGATGTACAGATTCAAGAGTTTAAAGAAGATCTAAGAGACGCTTAAAATCAATACCTTTGCAACTGCTGCACTCGTAATATCAAAAGCTGATCTTCTGGTAAGATTAAACCAATGCCAAAGCATTTGTAAACAGGATTCAATGAATACTTCTGTTTCTGCTGACATGAACTTAGATTTTAAAATGAAACTGCTTTATACTAAGCAAAATACACTTCTAATAAATTGAAATACTAATTCTCAATGAGAATTCAGCAGTTCTTCGAACATTTCTAAATGAATACAAAGGATCAAACTCTGCCCTCAGTTTAATTCCTGAATTCTCACTGAATTTTGCTGGTAATAACAGCAGACTTTGTCCCACGTTGCCCATTCATTAGTTCCCTGTTGGAGCACCATTTTTCTAGTAAAGGTGAAAAGAGAAAAAGTGAAGGAGAACTGGGAAATGCCTATTTCTAGACATTTGTAACCCTGCTTTTTTCAGACTTTGACATATCCCTTATAAATGTTGCTGTGAACATGGTTGTGACAACACCTCCAGAAGAATGCCCTCTGCCCACCTACTGATGAGTTAAAGGAATACAGACAATCCAGAAACTTCATCTGCATGAGGCTCTACGCACCACCTTTGACCATCCAATCTCCTGTACGTACAATACTGAATAATCCCCCTGATGGTGAATATAACGTAGCAGATCTTTACTCACATAATCTGCATGTGGGTTCAACCTAGATGGTACCTGTGTTATGCTGTTTAGGAAGGACGCTGAGATGATAAAGTTTACATGATGAAGGACAGGGGAAGATGATTTAGAAGCTTCTGTCTGCCAGTGATCCTTGCTAGGATCATATGTGCAAGCTGATGTGTCTTCCCAGAAAGTAACAGAGCGAAACCAGACTCCACTTAGAGTCTCTAACTACATAGAGTCACAATTAACAATCACTTAGGTGGCTTTACCTGGATTTTTCACTAGTGGGGAAGACAAATGATACATATGAGTAACCCACAAAGACCCTCTCCATATGCAACAAAATCCCTGATAGGTGAAATCACTAATATGCAGACTAAGATGTCGAAAATAAAAAACCAGGCAGAGCATCAAAACTAGAAATCCATCATCCTGGGAGGTAACATAGCCAGAGCAGCAGAAGAAAGGCACTTTCCCCTCAGCAATACTGAAGTTGCTATACTAAATACAAGGCAACATGACACCAGTAGCACTCTACAGCTGGGTGGGCGAGGTAACAGCAGTAGTGAAAGAAGAAAATATCAGTGGGCAGCAGGAGGACATGGCAAAGACAGCAAATGCTGAAATGACAGCAAGGTATCTATCTTTTCTTCTTCACACACAGAAGCTGAGTATGCCTGATTGTATCCCCAGAATACTAACCTAATCTTGGATAACAAACTATGAACCAGAGAGGGAAGGAAAAATCTGGTATGTTATAGAGGAACTTACTCTTTGGATGTTTGCACTGGAGGTGGGATATCTGAGGGAGATCACTACTAGAAATGCTGTAGGAGCAGGCATTTTACCTCCTGTTCATGTACTCTTGACCCACTATTATTTCTGCTTTCCTGAACTACTGGTTCATTTTTTCTGTCTTTACTACATTTCCTTTGAAACTAACTTCAAATATTGAAACAGAGCCCATTTTTCTTTCAAGACCACACGGCAGAGAAGTGACACTATCACAAATGCTGAGGCATTTGTGGTCAAGAATCACGTATATCTCACATTTCCTTATTAAGTTTAGTATTTGCATACAGTATTTTTTCTGCTTTCAAAATCAGATTCAGTTTTACCACTCAGAATTTCAAGCTGAGAAACACAGATCTGGATCCAGAGGAAAAGCAGTAGACAGCAAAAACTAGCTACACTTTGGGACTTCACTTGAATGAGGCTCTCACGATCCTGCCCTTCACAGGCTGAATAGGGCGACAGTTATCAACCAGTGGGTTCACAGGCTCGTTCTCACCATTCTTGGAAAGGCTACGGAGCTTCGCCATCTGCAAGGAAGAAAAATTACAGCGCCCATGTGAATTCAGCTGGAAGCAGTGTGGACCTTGATGCCTAGAACAAACTCTGAGACAGAAAAGGAATTTTCTTATGTAATAACAAGCATACTGGTAGAGATTATTGGTAGAGATCACTGCGGCCCAACAGCTTGCCATGTTTCTGTGGATCTTTAAGCTCTTCATCCACAGAAGAGTGCATCATCTGACCCTTGCCTTGGCTTCTTTTGGGTTTTTCCCCAAGCCACACTCGCAATGTGGAAAAAGAGTGGGGGCCTCCTGTGACCCTGCAGGAGATGGACAGCAGTCACATCACTTGTGAAAATATGGCCGCCCATGAAGGATGATGCACATCTGAGTCTGTGCAAGGTAGCCTGATAGAAAAAGCTAGTCTGTAGATGTTCCTATTTTGTTCTGTAAGGCAATGTATGTCAGATGGATTATTAAGTTCAATTGTGAATTCAGCACTTAGCCATTGTTCTCCAAATTAATTTAAATTCAGTGTTGTTTTGTTAATTGTTACCCTTTCATCAGAATGCAAAATAAATCTGTTCTGAAAACAGCCAAATTATTAACAAGGCTATACCCTGACTTCTACTGCCGAAGCAGAAAATAGTATAAATAACCAAAACTTTTAATGCAAGAAGTAAAAACAAGATCACCTTCTTATCCAGATTGGATTTCTATTCTTTTTCCTGTGTAAATGCACATTTGAGGTATATGAATACAACTAGTACATTAATTTGTATTAGTATTCAGGTTTGCAGGTTCTAGCTAGTTTGATCCTTCTCACTGGCAGCTTTTAGGAAGTCAAGATCTGGACCAGCGATTTCGTAAACTAATTAAACCACAATGACTAGGAAACCAGCTAAATGTTAGTCTCGTTTGCTATTTAATGGTGAAGCACAGAGAATGAACTGAGGCTGCTGTGATGGCTGAATTTTGTGGCTTGGAGGCACTTCTGCCTGTGCAGGTTTTCAGAACTTCAGGAACACTCTTGCTGAAGCTATTCCAGGTGGTGTCAAGGAAGAGAGCCTCATTCTCAAGGTCAGTTTTACAGTCCATTTCAAAAGTCCATTCTGCAAGCAATTTCTCACAGTCCTCAGCTAAAACTTTCCTTACCAAAAAAGGCAAGGTCACATAGGGCTTGCAAATCACCACACTGACATACTGAGGCACTGTTGAGAACTGGTAAGTGAGTAGCAGAATGAGCTGGAGTTTACCTGGTCTGAGCTGACTTCAATCGGCTCCCTCAAGAGAATCCAAGTGATGCACTCCTCGCAGGGGGGTGTAGTGAAAGAACCGTGGTAGGTCCAGTAGTCCCGAGATTTGGGAAAAAGAATTGAAGGATCAAAGTGATGAAAAGGAGCCTCTTTCCCCTTGAAGAAACAAAAAAATAGTGCTCTGCAGTAACTCTAGGGATATGCACTTTAAAAGACATCAGTATCTCTGTTATTATAAAGGAAGTAATTAAATATCAAGATTCATGCAAGAGATCGATCTCCTTCCAGTCAAGCATTTGCCCTGCGATTAACAATAACTGACATTTTGATTCCATTAATAAATGAAAAGAAATTACAAACTGAATTGTGTGGGACCAAAGCAAATTCATTGTTACATTTTTCTATTCTGGAATTATCAAAATTTTGTTTTATTCTGGGTCACTGGGGATAGAAGTTAATGTCTGTGGTGCTGCAAGTACTGGTACCCTTTTTGTCCAATAGAACAGTGGCCAGGCATTAATACCAGATTCATTACAGTCTTCTCCTCTATCTGAAGTAATTTAGATCTGCATCTCTCTCCTCCCAAAACTGTGCTCTAATTGCATTGTCATGGTGACACTCTCAATCATCTTGCTGGCACTGCTACAATTAATGTAAAAAAATGTAAATGTTTCCTGGAAGACTGCTGGATCCTGAAGGTCTTACAACTAAAGGTGATTATTACCAGACAAGGGAGAACAGCAAACATCAGACAACATTTCCTGAGAAGTTTTTGTTTTCCACCCAATAAGATACTCAAGACAACATCTCCATGGATTGTGATGAGACTTCCTTGTCCCCTCAGGGTGACAAGAATTAAACAAGAAAGTTCAGTTCTCTATTGGTATTTATGATGCAGTTCTGGAAAGCAAATGCTATCATTCCTAATTCCTTCTCCTATCATGGAGAATCTTTTCTAGGTGGGAACAGAATATTACCTTACAAAGTGCAACGGGAGGAGCTGAAATCTTTTACACACATCCTTGCACAAAATATGGGTAGAAAGAATAACATCGAGACTCCAAATATATCTTTGTGACACAATTATTCTGTAAGTTCAATATGAGTTTGCAAATAACTTCACAAACAAAACTGTGTCTTTTCAATAAATACAGTACAGCGTCCAAGAAACTCCTCTGCCTGTAATGCATCATAGCAACTGAAACTGCATGTGTGATAAATACACAAGGCATACCATTCATTAATCTTTCCTGAAAAAGAAGTAATCTTGGTAAAATGTATGTGATTACAGGAAAGAAAATAACTACAAGAGATAAAATGCAAGATGTGGTTGGTTGCATATGCACCTATCTTTCACTGCTTTTTTTCAACTGCTGCTTTTCCGAGAACCACTACAGAGAATATCTGTATGTAGGAAATCAGACTTCTATTTTTAGGCAGTCTCAGATAGAATGTAATGGAATGGATATCACTGTCATCTTGTGGTCATTGTATGACACAGTGTTTCATAGGGTGATTGATCAACCTTTTTTTAACTGTGGCAAAGCTCTTCTGCATGTAAATGGCCAAAAACAATGATACAGGGATTATGAGAGAAAGCTGAATCTGTACGAAGACAGGTATCATTGATACAGTGGGGGAAGCAATGGGTAGGGTGAAAAAAATTACCTTCAATTCCCTCAGCAGAAAGATCTAAATTGTACCTGAAGACTAAGGAAAAGTTGAAAAAATAAAATTAATATGACTCTGAGTGAGGAGAGAACAGATTTCAGGGTCAGACTCGCACACCAGTGGCAATGCATACATACATAAATTAAATGCAAATAATTCTGCTAAATTTGGAAGAAAATGCTTACAAAATCTGTAAAATTCAGTCTAAGTGATCTGGTGGTATATTCAATACCAAATTAAAAAGGGACTTTTCTTTTAGCACCATTAGAATATAAAGCTTATCATGAAGTAGAATTGCTAAAGTATACCTAGACATGAGGTTTATGTTGACTAATAATGTTAAATAGCAATAGATGCAGTATCACAATGCTCTGCAAAGAACTCCCTTCTGCAGCTGTATCTATGCAATAGGTATGGACTTTGGTCCTTAGAACATGAGTTCAACTGGAAAACAGAATATGTTTGCAATGCTATTCACGCTAGTATCATAGGAAGACAGAACCTAGGACTGGTGCAGAAACTGTACTGTGTAATCCTTTAATAAATTAATTCAGTTCCATCTTAAAACTAATGCAGTTTTTAATGTCTCTTACACTGACTGGGATCTTGCTCCATCATTCCTACTAGTTTCTTCTCATTTCAGGCTAACTAGATTTCTGACTCATTATACGCATTTGTTTTGGCCACTGCTGTCCTCAAATTCGAAAAGCTTTTAATTTCTTCTTGATATATGCACACTAGCGTATTTTTACAGAGCAGCATCAGTAAGACTAACAATTGTGCATGCAAGGATTGACACAAAATCCTCTACAACAAGAATACTTACACAAGTGAGGAGTTACATGTATACTTAAGTAAAAGAAAGTGTCCTGCTCCACAGACCAATGTATCACCTCTGGTGCTACTGTTAGGCATCAGAATGATGCCAAAAAGAGTGAATCTGAACTTGACCCTGCTTCAGCAGGGGGGTTGGGCTAGGTGATCTACAGAGGTCCCTTCCAACCCCTACCATTCTGTGATTCTGGGAACTTCTGATTTCTGCTTCTGCTGCTTTTCAGCTACATTATCTCACAAAAATTGCTTTGATACCTTGGTCTTAATGTTATCAATTTCTTCAAGAATTCTCTTCATCTCTGGTTTGGGAGTTTTTCCAACCTATAATGCAAAGCACAAGTACTGTATTTTTTTAATCACGTTCCACAGCATTTGAAAAAAATTCAGTACATCCCATCTGTCAAGTTCGGCAGCAGTACTCTCAGCATGTCCAGTACAGGCTGACACAAAATGATGAGTGTTAAAAGAACATCTGGAATAGCAGACTGAAGTAACTGACTTTGCAATTAAAAAAATGTGTGGAAAGACTCTGCAAGGCATCTCGCACTGTCTGAGGAACAAACCACTCAGTGTCATCCACCAGCCTAGCCCTCGGCTTCTGGTTTGAAAGCAACCCACAACCACCGTGAGCTGTATGAGCCCTCAGCAAAGTGTTGACAGTCTGAGCAGCTGGAGTTCCTGCAGACACTTCAAACATTTTGCAGTACATACACAGTCAGATCAGACTTGATGTAAGACATATGATGAGATTGGTGTCATGACCTCCTCAAGCTATGGGGTCACTTTATTGCTTGTGTTTGTGACGTTCAGCACCTCCAGAAGCTTTGACATGGCTCTGCATCCCAGAAGAGTAGAGACAGCATGCATAAGACATGGTGTTACTGCCATGTCTTGTTCCAAACCAGATTAAATTCCGTTCTTCAGGAGATAATTCAATCTCTGTTTTAGCAATACCCAAAAACCCAGTCATGGGACGTGACAAACGCAGAGCAAAACAAGAGCTCCTGTGCCAACAAGCACAAAGGAAACAGGGAGAGAAGGCCAGAGAAGACAGAGTGATACTATTTAACTTATCTAAGACCTTTTATCTGACCTTAGCATGGTTGATAGGAACATAATGTTGTACTATATAAGCTGTGTGTTACACGATAAAGTTTAGCCTAAAATAGGCCGAAAGAAATTACGAAGGAAGAATAACTGAAGGACATAGTCATAGCAGAGAATCTGGACAGGTGCTGACCTCCTGCCACTTTCAGTTTAAACTAACCACAGGAAAAAAGGTCAGGCTGGCTCACAGCGTAACAGAGTTAAAATGGCATTGAACCTAGCCTGTCCAGGGACACTGTGGCAAAATTAGTTACATCCTCTTGCTATTGCTTGTACGAATGCAGCTTAGTAGTGATAAAACAATAAAAGGAGAACTATTCTCTGACACTGTGTTCAAGCTGAATTGCCCACCTGCTGGTACAATGACAGCCACATAGCTGAAGTTTGTGTAATTTATCACTGTTAGACTGTCTGCCTATTACTGCTTCTTGGTGTCCTAGACCACATGCAGATTTGATACTAGGATTGCTTTCTTGCTGTTAAGTTTATAAAAAAATCAGTTGGAAAATATCTGTACAGTATTATTTTCCAATGAAGCTGCTGTATTTCAAGGTTAAAATGTCCAGCGAACTTCTTTTACCATTGATTCTTTCAAGTACTCGGTCTTTTTGGAGCAGGTTCGTTGATCTCTTTTTGATTCCCAGCTCATGTGAGGATCAACAAGAGACTGAGGATGGGAACCAGCCAACATAACCTTGCTGACAGGTAGAAACAATACCTGCTAGCAGACAAAGGGCAGGAGGAAACCCTCTTCCTATGCAGACTGTCCTCCTCACTCAGTACACAGTACAGCACAGAGCTGGTCAGCTGTCAGGGACAACGTCAGCAAGTGTCCCGGGCTTGAAGCTGTGTGTCTCTTGTTCAACACCAGTCGTGGGATGTGCCACTGGTGTCACAAACGGTGTCAGAGGTCGGCTCTGAACAGGTTAGTGCATGGAATCCGGAGGGGTCAAGGGCATGTGTGACTTCAGTCTCTGCACCGCTTTGAATGTTTTCCTGTAAAATGGTACAGTGCAGGGAAAAATGATGGGAACGTTTCCCCTGGCACTAGAGAAAGATGAAAAATACAGAAAATTATAAAGACTGAATGATTGCCACTTACTTTCAGAAAAATGCCCACAACAGCCACACCATCAGGTTGTTTCAAAGCTCCAACAAAATTACCATGTTTTGGATTCCAGTGCACCATATGTAACTAAAAAATCAATGAAACCTCAGTTATAAATGCAAGAAATTGCCAACAGTGCAATCTTACAATCTTTTACATTAAATTAAGAACAGTTTCCAGTACACGGTAAGTAAAGGAACGGACATGAAGAAGAAAACCATGTGTAAGTATTTCCTATTCCCATTTCCATGCTTCCATGCACTCACACTCTCTGTAAGCATCACTTTGCATTTAATTGAAGTACAGAAGAAGGTAAACAGAGTTTGCCACACAATACCTTTAAAAATTAATCAGATAATTCAACTATAAACAGTTTAACGCAAGCACGTGGCATGCACACACGCAGTGCATAGAACACTTACTGACATGCACTTCATCTCAGGTAGAGTTTTAGATCCTCAGGTTATGCAGATATCAGCTCAAGGATTTACACTGGATTGTATGCAGTACATATGTTATGGTTTTGTATCTCTTACTACTTGGCACATTGTACTAGAAAGTGGAGGTAGTAACCCGGCCTTCCTTTCTCATTTCTACAATGCTGTATTTTCAGGATATATTTCAAGTTTTTACATTTCCTTCCAGAAAATCTCTGGCTCCTGCATACAGCTACAAATGCTGCAACCAGCAGTGTGGAATCTCCAAATAAGTAGTGTCTGGAACATAGCGCCATGCAAAAAAAAATAGGAGTCTTGTGTGTATTTTTAATGCAAATTTTTGACCTTTTTTTCTTTTAAACACAGTAACTATTATTTAAAATCACAACAAAATAATTTGCCCTAAATATGCATTAATATATTGCTCTCTGTTCCTTTTCTCTTGAGGATACTGATATCAGTGTTAAGGATAAAGGTGGAGCAGCCACCTATCTTTAGTTAGATTCCAGGAAAAATTTCATACATTCCAGGCTTTCTTCTCCTGTCAATAAATATTTGAGTACTGCAAACAAAAACAAAATAAAATGTCTGTGCTTGAACTAACTAAGAAGTAGCTTGAGAAAGCAGAATTTTTCTGTCTAGTTGGCCACAGAAAGTAGAACACTAACACAGTTTGGCTGTGGCTAAGGATTGGGAAAGCAAACCCCAAACCATCACCCACAGTCATCTGTGCAATGTTTGTGCACACTGATCCTGCAAAATATCTGCCCAAATTTTTTCCTAGGATAGGTGGGCAACGCCCCTGTAAGCTCTGCATCTTGAGGGTATAGGTGGAAGGCAGGAAAACACTACTGCAGACTTTTTGTGGGCGTAGGCATACATTTTGAGCCTATTCTCAAATAAGACAGATGAAGGAGGTAACATTTGCTAGTAATTCACTAGCACCAATAGTGAATTCACTTATATTTTCACCTGAAGAAGTCTTCAGGGCCTTGAGAAGCCATTAATTTTAGCAGTTTTAGCAATTTGGACAACAATATTGTGGTAAAGTAAACAAAAGTTTACTTTAAAAACCCCCCAAACATCTGTTTTCCACAGTTCCCAAAAATAAACACAGAGATTTTAAAGCACAGATGTTCAGAAACTAGAAGATACTCTTTACCACTCAGTTTTAAGGTGGATCTAATTTTGAATGTCAGTTTATCAAATGTGCTTTTAGCAAGTTTTTCTATTAATTAGTAATGCTTTGTGAAAGTAAGTAATTCAAGCTATACCAGAAATGGCTAAAATCCCAAAAAACATCAGCAGAAAACAGATCTTCCTATTTGGAAACAGCAGATCTCTTTTATATCAAATATGTTCAAAACATTCTAAAACACCAGCAAAAACTCTTGCTTGAAGAAGCAAATTCCATGTTAGTATATACTTGCAAAGATACATTTGTTGGCAGATGCAACTTATCGCACTGCATGCTGATGAATATTCACAAGTTTCATAGACAGGTCTCAGAGAAAAATCCATAGCTAAACACTTGCAAAAGGGAGAATGGTTAATTTGTTTGGATGCACAATCAGTCAAATTCCAGTTAGTACGGAATACTACTGCTGAAGATAAGTCCTACCTCTGCTGCGTACTTCAACCCGTCGATAATATGCTCCGAGCCGTGGTCGTCGGAGGACCCCCAGTGCAGGGGCAGCGGGCGCAGCCTGTAGGCGCCCGTGAGCGGCCCGCCCCTCAGCACTGCAATTGATGACCCGCATCAACGCCAGCCGACAAAGCGCCGACACGCACGCTTACTGAACGGGGACCCACGCTTGGAAAACGCGGAGCACCTCTTGCGCATCCGGCTGGTTGCTGTGGGGGTCACAGCGCTCACCACTTTACAAGACTGGGGCTGAATTCTGTTATCGCTCAGGAAGAATCCTTTTGACATGAAAACTGTGGGGGGCTGCTCTGAGTCAAACACAGAATCAAACCCCAGAAGCCCAACAAGCCCTTGGCAAGCAGACACACTATAGTTCCTGATGTGGAGAGAGAAGGAAGGAATTCATAGCTGATTCCTGTCAAGAAACGGGCTGTTGTGAAATGGTTGGGGATAGAACTGTGAAACTAACCCAGAGGTTCTTTGAAGTGTACCTCTAGTCCATGACTAGCATAGCTTCTACAGTTCAGACAACTAAACAGTGGTTACAGCATAGCCTGCTGCTTCAAAGAAAACAAAGATCTATTTCTTGAAGGTAAGGGAAGAGCAGAAAGTTTAGGTCAAATGAGTTTGAAAAGAGTTCTTGAGCAGGCAAAAGCTGTAGTCCACCTTTAACAGTGCCACCAATGAAACAAATTAAGAAGCTATTATTTCTGCTGTTCTTAGCCAAAGAATGCTGACCACGCATCAGCCTGACAGTTCACATCAACTCTGACTTTCAAAACATCACACCTGCTCTTTCAGTTTGGGGATTCTTTAGAGCAGGGACTGCTTCGAGGGTAAGCTCTCAAATACATTTTTCATTCATTACCTAAGGCAGGAACGCGACGTGTTTCCTTACACAGAAAGCTGATAATGCAGTTCACAACTGCGGTGCCAGAAGACCTTGTTTAAATAGCATTCAAGTTTGAACTTCTACCAATAGCTTTGAAGTTCAAAGTTAACATTGAAATAATATTTAAATCCTCTTGTGCCCAATGGTCTCAAATTAATTCTTGATATCATATGTGTTGGAATACCTACACAGAGCAAGAGGTTTAACTTTGCAGTTTCTCTTTTTCGTTGGCATGTGTCAAGCCATTGGGGGGGGCAGCAACAAAGCACTGTGTTGAGTTTCAGACATGCAGTTCCTCTTATTTTTTGAGTTTGTTCACACATAAATAAATTATCAAAACTAACTCAATACAATATTGGATAAGCCTTCTATAGAAGCCTTAAATGGAAAATTTAATGTCACATAGTAATAGCAATTATTATTATAACTATTATTATTATTGTTTCACTTCTGAACGAAGGAAAAATGAGGCACAGACTCTAAGGCCCAACCCTCACAAGTATTTGCTTGCCGTTTCACACTGCAGTCAATTCCAGCTGAATTTGTCATCTACCTGCAGTTACAAGCTAAATCAGTATCAGAGCTGGAAACTCATTTAGCAGTCGTTTCTTACAGGTGGCTCTTTCCAGAGCTCCAATACTGTGAAGCAGTTGGAAACAGCCCTTCATAACAGTATACAGATATCTCTGGCATAAAAATAAATCTTTTTATCATTCAACATTTTCCATGCGATTAGATTAAAAAAAGGCTATTCTCAAGCTAAATTTCTTTTTCCAGTTAAAATTGGACCTGTGACTACAACTTATCCTCAGCTGCTGCCATCACAGAAGCCAGGAAATGAAGGCAATGTTTATGAAATGCTTTCTCATGTGTTTTTTCAGAGCTGTCAAACATGGTATTTGATTCCAATCAGCCCCATCCCTATGAAAGGCTTGAGCCCTAAACTACTGTCCAGCAGCCTTCAGAAAGTGATTAACAGCAGCAGGGAAATAATGTGCACACTGGGTGTCCAGAGGAAACCCAGAGATGATGGGGAGGGGAGAGGCGGGGATGGAACAGAGGGAAGATGGTTCAGAGGAAGGGCTCCACCAAGGGCTGCACCCCACTTGGCCAAAGCAGGGTCTTTCTCTAACACAGTTCCCTGGGCAGACACGTTCGTGAGCAGCCTCCCTCTGTCTAAACATTTCAGCCTTTAGGAAGGTGCAAAGATAGAGCAGAACCACCGTGTGAAAACGTTCAGAGTCAATTTACCTCCCATGCTTTGAGTCGTGGCATTGATTTTATGCAGCGCTTGTGGAAGAGCATGCTACGTTATAACAAAAGTGCAATTTATGGTTTGTCTGAGGCCACCGTGTAGAGACTGCGATAATAAATACTAAAGCACCATACAAATACATAACAAAGAGATGGTCCCTGTCCTAAATAGTTTAGATTCCATCTGCGAGATGTGGAAAAATAACAGGTAGCTGTAATGGGAAATAAAGGAGTCCAGGGAAACAATGAGCTCATGAAGATAAACAAGAGAGACAGCAATCTCTCAATGTGCTGCAGATACATCTCTTTAATTATATAGCTTACTAAGAAGAAAATCCCAATACAAATGTGATCGAAGCAGATGCAGAAAAATACAATTATAAGTACTCTGTTTTCCATTAATTAGATTGCTTTCCTTCTTGATAAAGGGCTGATCAATACTGCATACTCTTGAGATGTCTTCGCATTATACAGTATTGTGAATTTAGTATTCATTTTGACTGTTGCTGCCTGTCTGCATTCAGAGCTACACATTGATACAGCTCTGCACTCATGTTTTGAACAGTTTAACTCAGAGATGTGAGACTGCTCTCTCTCAATTAAATAACAAAGCCATTTCATAGCTTTCCAGAAGCTATGAAATGCTGTTTTCATAAATGCTATTTTCACAGCTTTTTCGGACTGTGGAGAAAGTATCTGAAGAATTCCCGCACAAACAGAAGAAATCAAGATCGCAGCTGGTGGAAACATATGTATGAGCGTTGTGGTTACGAAGTGCCTCAGAGCAGGCACCGAACCCCATGAGTGACACTGTCTCCCCTTACACAAAACCTGAGGATGCAGCGTCTGCGTCGAAGGAGGTGACGTGGGGAAGAGGAGTCCACCTTCCAGATGAGTCTGCATTTCAGGGGTGCCCCTGCAGCTACAGCCTCCCTGTCCCACCTACTGTGGACATAAACAAGGCTGGATTCACCAGAATAAACCCCGGGAGTCCCTTTTTTATGCACCCAGATGACTTTCCTCTGCTGGCCTGTGTAGGCCAGATACCACGGGATGCATTTTGACTCCCAGCACTTTGCAAACCTCAGTTCCTGGCAACCCCCAAAAGCCGAACCAAAAACCCACCTGACCGATCAAAAGTGTCGTCAAAGACGACTCGGCAGGTGCGCCCGTTGTTCAGGATGGTTTTGGCTGCCCCGGGGTCGTAACTGGCGTGCCAAGGGCCGAGAGAAGTATCGTGCCGCACGTCTTTGCTGCTGATCTCAATGGGCGACTGCTTGTCCCCCTTGGCCATGGGGTAGTTCTCATGCCAGTGCTCGGGTCCTGGGGGGAAAGGCAAGGGAAGGGACAACGGGCACAAACTGAAGCATAGGAAGTTCCAGCTGAACATGAGGAAGAATTTCTTCACTCTGAGGCAGGCGAAGCCCTGGAACAGGTTGCCCAGGGAGGTTGTGGAGTCTCCTTCTCTGGAGATATTCAAGACCCACCTGGACACAGTCCCGTGCAGCCTGCTGTAGGTGACCCTGCTTTGGCAGGGGGGGTGGGCTAGAAGATCTCCCGAGGGCCCCTCCCACCCC